TAAGAATACAAACAGTTAGCAAACAAATAAATCTGCCTCTTACAGTTGTTCTGGAAGAGGCACGAAAAATAGACTAAAATTATGCTTTTACCCAGATGCCTTGGAAAATCAGAAAAACATTTTTCAAAATAACATGAAAAGCCTTTTGGCCTTACCAGAAGAAAAATAATAGCTTTCTACTTTACTATATTCCACAAACCAGCCAGCTGGGCAGGAAACAGCTTGCTGACAACTCATACAAGGAAAGCAGGTCAGGATTTCCTGCTATAATAGGAGCTACTACTCAAATAGAAACTAGAAAAGGAGGTCAAGCTGCAAAAAGGTTTCCTGTAAAGGAGTATGTCATAAATTGATTGTGTATGCTACGTAGAACTGGATTCTCATTTAAAACCATTTTTGATTTTGCACCTACCATATGCTGCTTAAATTGCCATGGCTATAAAACTTGCTATCACCTTTTAACTATGGACAGAAGTTACATGTGTTATGTACCTTCAAGCTGCATCTGACTTACAATGTCTCTAGCAGGGTCTTCAAGATAAGTGAGACATTTGAGACGTGGTTTTACCAGTGTTTCCACCCCGGTGAATTTCTATGGCTGAGCAGGGATTCAAACCGAGGTTTCTTGAGTCCTAGCCCACCACTCTAGCCACTACACCACACTGGGTACCAGCACAGGCAGAAATCACCCACAATTTAAACTTCTGGATAGCAAGTAATTCCCATCCACCCTTTTGACTCTCTTGTAGGCTTCTGGTGAAATGCTAGAAATATTTCTGCCATTTAAGAAATGAAGATGCAATGCTTCTAGCCTTTATAGAGTTGCAAGGGAAAACAAAGCTTTGAATATGAAGATTAGAGTCAGTCAAGATGGTGAACCTGAGCTTGGATAATTTTTTTTTAGATAAAATTCTCAGAATTACCCAACCAACATGACAACAGACCATGCTGACTGGGGGCTCCTAAAGTACAGAGCAACTAACTTTTCTAAGCTCTTGTGTTTTACCCCGATCTATGTAGAAGCAATTTCAGACTCTCTACTTGAATAGTCAAAGCTATGGTTTTTCCTGTTGTGATGTATGGATGTGAGAGCTGGACCATAAAGAAAGCTGACCGCCGAAGAATTGATGCCTTCGGTGGTACTGGAGGAGGCTCCTGAGAGTCCCCTGGACTGAAAGGAGAACAAACCTATCAATTCTAAAGGAAATCAACCCTGAGTGCTCACTGGAAGGACAGATCCTGAAGCTGAGGCTCCAGTACTTTGGCCATCTGATGAGAAGAGAAGACTCCTTGGAAAAGACCTTGATGTTAGGAAAGTGTGACGGCAAGAGGAGAAGGGGACGACCGAGGATGAGATGGCTGGACAGTGTCTGCGAAGCAACCAACTTGATACTGACAGACCTCCGGGAGGCAGTGGAAGATAGGAAGGCCTGGCGTGCTCTGGTCCATGGGGTCACGAAGAGTCGGACACAACTAAACGACTAAACAACAACAACACTTGAAGCAGTCTTCTGACCATTTTAAACAGATAGATCCAAGTAAATAGAAAAACTGAAAGTTAGATTGGTTAGATTAAGACAAGTCAATGCTAAGATGTTTTACTGGTGTCATATGACCCCAGAAAAATTGTCAAAGATGTATATATATGTATCAAATGTATGTTGGAAATGTGAAGCACATGTGGGAAGCTATTATCATATGTGGTGGTCATGCAGAGTAGTGAAACAGTATTAGAAAAGAGTACATGCTGTGCTGCAACACATATTGCTTTGTAATGTTCCATTAACCCCAGAACTGTTTTTATTGAGTATGATACCTGATAACATAGATAAGGCAAGAAGTATATAGTTATATACATAGTCACTGCAGCTAGAATTTTTTATGCCAAGAATTGGAAAAGTCCGACGGTACCGAAAGAAGAAGATCTTATAGAGACGATACGGGAAACAGTGGAAATGGACATTTTATCAGAAGTGATGAAGGACTGTCCTCTACAAAAGGCAACTGAAAGATGGGACTTATTCTACAAATGGTTTGAGTCTTCAGACATTGCTTAAAGAACATGCATCAAAATGAGAACTTAAATCTGGAAGGCAGAAAATAGTAAAAAATAACAATTTTGAATTTTTATATGGCAATATGTATAGAATGGATGTTAGTATGTCATTGTTTCTCCTCTTCCTCTTAACCTCAATCCCTTTTTCCTTCCTGTTACCCTATGTTAAAAATAAAATATTTAAAATAAAATAAAATAAAAAAGACAAGTCAGTGCTAAACTGCATAACAGTAAATCTACTTTTGCAGTTTTATCCATGATCCCACCTTTGTTCTAATGAAGATCAAAAGAACAGCTCTCTGCAAAAGTGAGTGGGTTTCTAAGTACATGCAATAATATATTTAGATCTCTCAAAAATGTCGATATATTCCTCATGTGCAGACCAGTAACTTTGACTTTGTTGAGATAAAGTAAACCAGTAATAATTACAGGTCATTTTTGTTGACAGAAGAGGCTTGGTGGAAGAAGACAAAGAAGAATAAACAATCTGCCCATTCATCAGAGGCTCTCAAGTCAAGGACTGTTTCAGTAAAGTAATTACGAGACTGTTTCCACTGATAACAACCACAGTTTATGGGGGTCAAATAACACAAGTTGCAGTTAATTGATATGAATAAGAAAGCTTCCAATCTTTTCCTTGCAGCTAGTCCAAATGAGGAGCAGGAACAAGCAAGCTCAAATCTCAACAAGGTTTTAGCTAACTGTAGTTTTATCTCTTTTACTCTTTTAAGAAATACTTGAGCAGTATTTCATAGTGGAAAGTGATAACAATAGTTCTCCCAGCTATGCATCTTGTATCTTCTCAGCTTTGTTTCAGCTGTATGAGCTTGCAGCCCTTCATCTCAGTTCATCACCATAGAGAGAAATGGTAGAATGCTGGAAAGCATCAGTACACCTGTACAAGTATCAGACTCCCCTGAATTCACTGTTGCATTTTTTTAAAGGAAAACTCTTATTCTGATGCCAAAATGGCCAAAATCCTGTTGGGTGGGCTCCAACTGTACATGGGAATGTCATCCTTGTCTGTGAAAGATTGTGGCTAATTAAAGACTTCCGTTTTTAATTCTGGATGTACAAAACTATGTCTCATTGCATGTGACCAATGTCCACCTTAAAAAAAACAGAAGTCTTTTCTGCTGATGATGATAATTATGTAATTTCCATTGCACAGGCAGAGTTGTACAACAGGACTGTGGCCAATAAAAATGTATTTTGCAAATATTGGAAAAAAGGCAGAGAAATCCAGATTCCATCTCTCCCCACCTCTGCACCCCATAAGCACATTCTTGAACAGACTGCTGTGTTGTAAAGAAAAGCATTCATGGCAAACTAATGATTGCAACACAGCTATCTATTGATAGCAATAGATAGGGATACGGACAGAGAAATACAGTAGGAAGAACTGAACCATGGGATACTGAGGATCCTCACCTGCACTCATACAGCTGATCGCTGAAATGTTATCATTGTTTTTCTTTGTAGATTTAATGGCACATTTGTGCATCACAAAAAGGATAATGTTGCTGAAATTAAAATGCTGTAAGAACATCGGATGTCCTCTTCAGCCTTCCTTGGAATATTTCCACAAAATGATAATGACAGAAGCAAGAGGAGCAAAGTGGTTTGGTTTGTTGTTGTTGTTGTTTTGCTAATGCTATCACGCAAAAGTTAAATAAAGTTAATGGATATCACTTTGCCAGATCTACAGAAACGTCAATATAGCATTTAAATAGATGTGCTTCCATTCTTCTCTGAAAGCTTTTTCATATCCTGTGGGTTTTCTATTTTTCTAGGTAAAAGAGACATCACATTCTTATTTGATGCAAAATACTATGCAATGGCTAATATATTTCTAGAACAAACGGCTTTATTTTGGAAAGGATATCAACTAGTTGCTCAATGGAAAAAGCTTAGTATATGAACCTTTCATGAACCTTAATTTCTTATACTTTCACCACCTTGGATCTATAATACATGTTTTTTGGTTTTATTGTTTTTACATTTGTAAACTGCCCAGAGTAGACCTTTGGTCTAGATGAGTGGTATAGAAATCGATCAATATCAATCAATCAATCAATAAACATTTTTTCAGTGAGTCACACAATACTAAAATGACATGAAAGAGCCTTCAGTTTTGGTCTACAATGAGAAATAAACTAAAGTGAATGGGTGCTCATTCAAGAAAGAGGAAGGAAAGTTGTAGAAAGATTTGTGTTCTGGAGAGATCTGAAGAATCAATATTTGTTTTCCTTTGTGTATATGCAATTTTCCCCACATACATCCCATTTATGTCAAAATATTGATATGGAGGATGATTCAGGAATGAGTGTTATGAGGCAAGTTTCTAAGAGTAAACAATAGTGCTATTGAAGTAACAGATGAACATAGAATGTATTATATAAGCATTTCACATACTGGTAAGTTTAACGTGTAATTCTAGTTTTAGTTACATTAATGTGTTAATTTTTCAAAATCCGTATTTGAAGCATGAAAAAATATGTCTATCAAACATAATGTCAACTGTCTGCACTGGTAATAAAACCATAATCCTACATCCACATACTGAGCATAAGCCTCACTTGGATTCAATCGCTAAAATCCTGTCACTTAGCATATTAAGTTGCACTAGAGTACAACCATTGAATGAGTAAGTATTTAGTGAGTCAACTCAATGGAATTAAACAAGGAATTGACTCAGTTAACAGGAACCAAAAATTTCCATAACAAACCAAACATTAATAGAATCATCTCATCTTCTACACACATTTTTAAAATATGTATATAAGCATTCTAAGAAATCACATCTAAAAGGATTAGGAAACAAATACTGTAGTATAATTCAAGAGCCACATTCACAAAAAATGACAGGCAATATTATCTTTCCAACATATTTATTCTGAGAAAATGAAAGAAGAAGATTTCTCAAGAGGCAAACAATACTGACCTTCATTCCTGGATAAGGTTTCTTTACCCTCTAGTGTTTTATCTGGCATCTCAGAAGAGACCAGTTCAGTGAAACCTGAGGGACATAAAGAAAGGAAACGATTCTCTTACCGGGGCAGTACATTTGAGCAGAAAAATACTTTTCTATAAGTTTAGGATATGATTACAAACAATTTCATGCACTCCTCATCTTCTAAAACATGAATACTGCAATATCATTTGCATTGGCAGCCAAGCAATATAGTTAAGAAATCAACACAAAGTAGTGCAAAGAAGATGCAAAAAAAAAAATTATACAGCAGAAATCTTAAATAAAGTCACAACAGGTTAAATGACTAGAGAAATCAGTGTTTGGTTCATTTAAGGGACAGAAATGCTTTAAGAGTGTAAATATTTTCTTACAGTATGTTTTTTTAAAAAAAGAAAAGTCTGATTAGCAACTGCTAAACTTCCTTTAAGGTCATTTAATTCATATAGTTGCCTTCATTTGGAAGTGACTTGCTAGCACATGACAATAATCCATGAATTTATAATTACCGCATTTTTCGCTCCATAAGACACACCTGACCATAAGACCCACGTAATTATGGAGTTAAAATACAATACATTGAAGCCAAAAAGGCAGGGGGAAATGACGGGAGATTCTGTCCTTTTCCCTTGCCTTTTTGCCTTCAGAGGTCTGCAAGGGCTCCCTCCGATATCAGGGGAAAGTCCTTGAACAACTCCTGTGGGTCCAATCACGGCAGCGGGTGACCCCCAGGAAGAATCTGATGGCTTGGAGGAAGCCCCTGGAGACCTCCTGGGGGTCCTCCGCCACTGCGATCCGACCCCGAGGAGGTCCAAGGGCTTTCCCCCAACATCGGAGGGAGCCCTTGCAGAAGTGTATTCGCTCCATAAGATGCACACACTCCCCCGCACTTTTTGGGGGGGAAATGTGTCTTATGCAGCAAAAAATACGGTAATGTCCTTAACAATACCTCTGAAGCTCTAAATCAGAACAAGATAAAATGGGAAAACAAAGATTTATCTTCAGATTTCAACTGATCAGAGATGGCTTGCAAGCCCCACTGTAAACTGGAAATCTTGTCCTCAGTATTAGCCTTCATGAAGCCTTTTTGTGATACAAGCAAGCATTCTAAGGTAATGTTGGAAGCAGAAAAGTGCACAGAAACCAGGGTTGCCATATCTTCCATTTCCCATTCCTTTAGATTTCAGGATCCAAAGCTGAGACAAAAGTGTGGGCCCTTAAAATGTCATAGGGTATGGTCCTCTGCATAACAATGACAAAATAATATATACAGTAGCTGCTCACATGTTGCAACAGTGGTGGCTCCACTTTTCATAGCAATGCATTCCTATAGGAAACTGCTTTTTGCAAGATGAAAATTTCGCAAGACAGTGCTACTCGCGGAATGAATTCCTTTTGTAAACAAATTATGTTAATCCATTAAGATTAGTGGCTGAAACAGAGAATTTTCCTGCCAATATGAAAGTCTATTTAGAATTATTTAAAGAACAAAAAGTGAGTGGATTAAAAGATTGGTTGGATAAAATGAGATCAAAAGATCAAATGAAACAAAATTTTCAAAATAAGAATATATCATGATTGAATGATATGCAATTAGAAGATGGACTAATGAATGGGTAAAAAGTATAACAAAGGTAAAGAATGTACAAAGTATGAACAATTTCTATTATCATATGAATATATTCAGATAAATGAGTCAGTGAAGGGTGTAGTAAGTAAAATTTATAGACTCCTGCTAGATTTAGAAGAAGAAGAGATCGAGAATGAAGGATTGAAGCTAGCGTGAGAACAATATTTGGGAAAAAGAATAAATGGTGAAGAATGGATGAAAATATGGAAATGAAGGTTTTGCGATTTACGTTGGTGAGAATAAAAGAAAATTTTTAAAACTAAGTTTAAGATGGTATTTGACACAGATAAAATTGAATAAAATTAACCCTAATTATCTGAATGTCTGTTGGAAATATGAGAAGGAAATTGGTACATACTTTCATATGTGGTGGGAATATGAAAAAGTACAAAATTTTTAGAAATTAATGGATATATGTGAAAGGGATATAGAATCTAATTGTGAGATAGCTTTGTTATCAATATTTGTCAATGTGGAATATGATATGAGGACTAACAGCAGCCAGATTAATACACACAGTTTGGGAACCAGTGCCATTGGTAACAACTGTACAGTAGTACATACTGCAATGATATGTTTATTCTATGAAGAATAGTTGGTTTTTGCAGAGTTGGATGGCAGTTTTCCTATGAACTGGGAAGACCAAAGTTTAAGTGGATGGGGCAAATTTATTGAACATGTGCTAACAAAAGGAAAAGGGAAAGTTCCAAATCAGGAATCAATGCAGTTCTGGAGAAGAAGAAGAAAGACAATGGAAGAAGAAGACTACTGCAAGAGGTCCTGACTAGAGTGGTGGGGAACACAATTGATTTATATTTTGGTTTATGTATTTTATGTTGTAGTTTATAATAATAATAATAATAATTTTAAAAATAAAATGTTGCCTTTACTGCTGGCTGATGTAAATAGTCAGGAGGGCCACATATTCTGTGTTTCTTAATCTTCACTATTGAAAGCACAACTGGTGTCCTTAAGCTGCTGACAGGACCTTCATCCAATGTAGGCATGCTAGATTTATTTCATAGCTTCTGTTCTTTTAAATGGATTTATATCTTAGCCGTTACCCAAACCACAGAGGAAGATTAAAGCGGCATACTCTCTGGGGAACAAGTCCCACTGAAATCTATTTCTGATTTAAAATACAGAGGATTATACTGTCAGCAATCATTTTTGCATTTTTAGCTATAAACTGAGAAAGCTGAATTTGTATGGTCTTTCTATTAAGTAGCCTACTGAATTTAATGAAACCTTAGAACATCATCCTCACTCTTGCCAATATCCCATGACTAATTTTAGAGAGACGTGAAAAGAATGTCAAGAGGCACTTTGCTTAAACTTAAATTAATCTTTGCCTGCCAGAGTACAAGATGGCTATAAAAGTATTGTATTACCAGAAGCATTTGCAACACAACTACTGTAATGTGATTTCTTTAAAACCTTAAATAGATAGACCAATCTATACCTTTCAGAATCTTATTGTGCAGACAAGCTGTGGATGCATTAATTTAGCTCCTTCTCTGCCACTAAAATGTTTGCTGTTCATTTAAGTGGAAAGAATTGGATTCTGAAAACATTTCCCTATTGACTTTATGTAATCCAAAAACATACTTTTCCAAGCTGTAATTAAAAAAAAAAACTTTACCTAGCTGTAGGAATGGTGGCAATGGCCCACAAGGCCCCCATCAGTGGACCATCTCATCTTCCCCTGGGACCCGCTAAATTTCCCACTACAAGCTCCCTGGCAGCCCTGGGAGAAACTATACTAATGTATAACGTCCAAGGGAAGAATCTGAGACACCACAAAGGACAAGGACAATAGAAGGTAGTAAAAGTCCAGGAACTGGGAAAAGCCTGGAAAAGGAAGAGCAACCATGTGGTGGAGGAGACATATGGGAGCTGGGTCTATAAAAAGAGGCTTGGAAGCAGTGAGAAAAGAGGAAAAAGGAGAGAAGGAAGACAAGTCTGTTCAAACAGGAGATAGGGTCAGAGGGAAAGAATGGACCAAGAAGTCTGGGGTGATGCAGTAGAGGGTCCTGAAATGGAATCTTTCCAGCTGGACTTCAAGATCCTGAGCCTCCAGGAGATTAAGGGACATTTGTATAAATAGGATCCTTGGTACAACTGACAAGTTTCTAGAAGAGGAGGAGAAACATCCTCACCCTTGACTAGTGCACAAGCCTTCATACTGGGGAGAGCAAGAGAGGAGAGAAAGACATCATAGAGCATAGGAGTGAGCTTCCAGGGAAGCAAGTGTCTCATGACAGAAATCCTGGCAGAAGCCAAAGCAGAAGATCTGGTGTTCCCAAATAAGGACAGGTCTGAGGGAAACTGAGATCATGTGCTGACAAAAGTGTTCATAAGCTATCCCTATTGCACTACACCTTGCCCCAAGTCAACAAGCACAATCCCACTAAAAGGCTTTACCTTACAGCCCTTGTTAACCAAGGTAACTGACAAAACTGGAGTCTCGAGGGGAACAGGTCTGGATTATGTACCTAAGACAGTGAAGGGAACTTCCTCAGACTTGTTTGACCATGTTAATTTTATAGAAACTTCTCTCCATTTAATAAACCCATTTTGTTGGAAGATTTTCAAGTTTTGTTCATGGAGTCTCAAATGGAAGAGGAGAACTAAACCAGCAGGGGTCAGTGGGGTTCACACAAGCTCTAGGAAAAAGTATAATTAATGTAAATTACCATCCTTAGTTTCATATTTCCAGTATCTGCTACTAATGCCAGGCAACTATACAAATGTATATTTTTAAAGATGAAAAAGTTAAAGTTAAAGATAATCAATTGACTCCTTCTAGTCTATTTTAATACTGTGATCCACTGTTTTAGTGCAAGAACATCTGGGGACCCAGGCATGGGAACCAATGTTTTAGAAGGGTGGGAAGAATACTTTCTTTGCAGCTCTCAACACATTTTCAGCATTTTCTCTGGAAGTTGGAGTGGGGCTGCCTAAGAACAGAGGTAGATGTCCAGTTGCACAACTCTGGATTCTGCCCAAGGGAAGAACAGGTGCTGCTCAGTAGTGGAGCACATTTTGGGAGGTACAAATCCCAGGTTCATTCCCTCACGTTTCCAGCTACGGCTGGGAAAGACTGCTGTCTAAATACATGGAATGTTCCTGATAGTCATGGCACAACAGCCTTTCCCTACAAGATACAAGGGACATGGTAGCGCTGTGGGCTAAACCGCAGAAGCCTGTGCTGCAGGGTCAGAAGACCAGCAGTCGTAAGATCGAATCCACGCGACGGAGTGAGCTCCTGTCGCTTTGTCCTAGCTCCTCGCCAACCTAGCAGTTTGAAAGCATGTAAATACGAGTACATAAATAGGTACCATCTCAGTGGGAAGGTAAAACGGCGTTCCCTAGTCACGCTGGCCACGTGACAATGGAAATTGTCTTCGGACAGGTG